CCTTCAAATCCCTTAAAACTCTCCTTTGCCATGATGCCGACACAGAAACGTGACAACGATTAGGCAGCTGACGTGCAGAGACCCCTGCTGATCAATATTGTCTCATGGTTTCCTTGTCCTCTCCCACCTGTCTGTATCCATCTGTCGTTTAAAGTAAATTCTTTGCGGTGGAAACCGTCTTTTTGTTCTGGGTTTGTGCAGCACCTAGAGAGACGGGATCCAGGTCCTGGGCATTATCATAATACAAATAACAATGAGTTATAAGAAATACCTGAGATTGCAGGAGCAGAAAGAAGTTGGCAAAGAAAATCCTCTTTTTCCAACCTGGTTTCCTTTGTGCATTCAGCAGCATTTTATTTAGGGTCAATTTCCCTGTTTTCCCTGGATAGCCGGCTGGCCAACTTCTCCCTTGCAGTAACCACCTTTGTAAATTTCAACAAGGGAGCAGAAAAATCCCTTATACATATTTTTAGAAGAGTTTTATGAAATCAGGACATAATGTCGAAAGGGATTTTTAAAAATTAGTTAACGTCAAAAATAATCTAAATTAACACCAGGCCTTTAAGTAGAGTGTCCAATTGGCTTATGAACAGGAGTAAAATAATCCACTTAGATCCATTAACACTGACTGATGTGCACTGCTAGAAGATAGGCCTGTCTCCTGGTTTTAGGGTGTTCTGTGGGCAGTGATGTAGAGGCAGCGTTAAGGCTGTTTGGGTGATCTCACCTGTGCATTCCCAATGTTTAACTGTCAATATTATCTCTCAACCTAGGATATTAACTCCTTAAATAATTCTTTAAATCCAATTTGTCACTCTTCTTGATCTTCATTTTATTTTTGCATGACTCGTGATTCAGATGATGAAAAAGTCCTGACGTCCGTTTCATTTTGGTAGGAGGCAGTTTCACTCAGAGATTTTCTGAGGTTTGGGTTCCCAAATGCTACAGGTGAATGTTTGTGCATTTAAAAAAACCAATTGTTTTCACTGAAGTTTTTTTTTTTTATTGGGCAGACAGTCTACTGGCCTTAGGTTTTATAAAAGCTCATTTTTACACCATTTAAATGTTGCCTGATTTTAAATGGGAATGCCCCTTCACATGGAATTCTGGGTTGGATTTCTGGGCTTTATAAGAAAAAGCTACCAAGCTTCTCTCCATCTGGCAGTGCTGGGTTATTTTTCATTATGTACAAATAAGGGAGCAGACAATTAAATTGAAACATAGCAAATTTAATACTGATAAAAGCATTTTTTTTCTTTTAGACAGAAAAATTAACCTGTGGAATTTGCTGCCATTGGATATCACTGAGACCAGGAGTTAGCAGGATTCAACAGAAGTTTAGACATTTACATGAATAAGAAACACTGACAGATATAAAACATGTTAGAAAGGATAGGAGACCTCATGCCTTAGGGCTCAGTCGGCTTAACACTGCCAGGGTCTGGGAAGAAACCACATTGAAGGGCTGATTATTCTATAATTGACCACTAGGAGTCTTGCACCTTCTTCCAAAGCATTTGGTATGGGCCACTGTCGGAGACAAGATACTGAACTAGATACACCTGTGGTCTGAACCGGTCTTCCTATGATCCAGAATTCCTACGTTCTTATGGAATCACTGACCACCTTAATTCCAGCTTAAAGCCTGGGCATTATATTATTTGGAGGGACCCACTTAGCAGCATGTGCATGTGTCAGCCGCTGTATACTGGGCCCTATACAGGAATTTGCAGTGTAGAGCCCTCAGTGAGATAATTAGCGTCAGGAGAAGCCAAAGACTCTTCGATGCTTCTCCAAGCCTCTTGCACCGGCAGAGCCAGGCTAGGAGTCTTGTCAGGACTGAAGGAGAACGCCAGCTCCAGTCCCCTCCCCGAACTTTGGGGGAGTTCAGATCTGGCTAGAATGGGCTTGGCTGGTCCTCTCCCTACAATGGGCCAAACTGGAACCCTGGGTCCAGACCCGCCCCTGAAAACTACATCTTCAGCCCAACTTTTCAGCTCAGCCCCTCCCGTGGGAAGAGATTCCCTGCACGCCGAGAAATGCCATGAGGAGAGACTGCCTCCTGGACCTGGGGCACTGCCGGCTGGAACCCAGCGGCTCATGAACATGGAAAATGAGCTGTTTGTGGCAGCCGGACTTTTTAACCCCCCTGGAAGTTCCAGGTTTGAGTTCTGGGTCAAAGATCGAGCTGGCTTTTATCTGCGTCTGGAATAGCTCCCCTGACCCCTGGAGATCAACCATTCCAACAGACAGCAACTCAGACCGAGGGGAGGGGTTAGTACCAGCAAATCTTCAACCCTTCACCCGAGGGGCGGGGTTAGCCCTTGAGAGACTCCGCCCCTTACACAGATGGGGCGGGGCTTGCACATGAGAGACTCTGCCCCTTAAGTGAAAACAGCCATGACACACGACCCATTTAACCACCAGCTCTTGAGCAAAAGGGGATTCCAACCGCCTGGCAGATTCTGAGGGCGCAAGTGCACCAGAAAAAAAGTTTTCTTTGCCCTTTACGCGGCCCCAGCGTGGGGAACACGCCCCCTCCAATACAGCCCTTCTCGCTTCAGCGCCGAATGGGTAAAGCCAACACAGCTGCTCTCGGCCATCACCGTCAGCCAATCAAAAGCCACTTTCCTACCGCTTGGGATGTTGGGACACAGGAGGAATAACGGCCCCCCCAGCAAGAATACATCCACTGAGGCTGCGTCTTTGGGAAGGGGATCCCGGTAACCAAAGGGAACACAAGCGTGCGGCTCTGATACAGACGAAGGGCCGCCGCAGTTCTTGGTTATGTCCTTTTCAATCCGGAGTGACTCCACTGGTGGGATGGGGGGCAGAACGGGGAGCCCCAGCTTAGAACGGGGCACATTTTGGGTGTGGGAAGGGCATTCATGTTTTATATTCCACAGCAAAAAGCACAGTAAACAAGATCCAGGCCCAAGACAGACGACATGACGCGCTCTGTACGGGATTTCCAGCTGGGACATCCCTTTTACGGCCTTCAGCCCTAGTAAACGTCTCTGTGTATTATACAGATACCTTAAAAAACCAGTAACACAACGGAAATATTTAAACCCACTAAGTAGCATCGAGGGGCCCAGTTAGCTTCCTCCGCACACAGGGATGGAGCCTTCAAAGGGGAAGGCCGAGTGTGTGCTTGTTTTGAACTGGTCCCCGTCTAGCGAGCCAGGAGGATCTCCAAGAGGGGCGTTAATAGAGAGAGATCAAGGGGGACTACAAGTTCCAAAATGCAGGGGATACAAATTCCAGCATGCAATGCTTCGTGAGAGCCGCATGGAGCCCTACAAGCTGGGACTCCTTGCCCTCCAGCAGCTCCCGTTCAGCACACGTCTGGCCCAGGCCTCTGGTTCCGGGGCTGGGTAACGTGGCCCCGCCCCCAGGGATGCATCCCAAGGAGGGTTGTGCTGATTGGCTGAGTCACTGAGGTTGATGCTGGTGACAACGTGTTACACGCGCCGCCCCTCCCTGTACAAAGTCTCCACCTCTCCTGGCAATGGGCGAAGATCCGGGAGCGACGCGGCTCCAACGCTTCCGAGAGTTTAATAGACAGACCCCTAACTAAACTCTCCGGCCGTCTCTATTACAGCTACCACAGCTCAGAGCCGCCAGCCCCTTCCTTTCAGCCCCTGGGGTGCTTCACGGGACAGCCGGAAGCTCCTGGGATAAGGAAGCCACGGGATCTTCTCTCTGCCCTCGGAGAGACTCCTCTCTGTATAGACCCCCAGCCTCCCTGATACCAGGCCATCAAGGGACGTTTCTCTCCTTCTCCAAGGCTCATCCCCACCCCCAGGCCAAAGTTCGGTGAGTGAACGCAGCACCCAGGTGGGGCAGAGCTGCCGGTGGAGGAGTCCTCAAAAAACTCCATGCAGCGGGGTGAAGAAGGGAACAATCCACGACTCCATCTGGGAGCTGGGACATCCTGAATCCATCCCACAAG